CCCCCCCGAATTTGAGTTAGTGTTGTCCTTTGTCACAATTTCAGATTTCAGTTTGGCGTGTTGTTATTTCCTATTTAAGTTGGTTGTTTGTAGCTTCCCATTCGAATTTCAGCAATAATATTATTGTTCTATTGTGTTTGGGTTAACTCCGGTATCAATTAAACAATAATTTTGAATGAATAACATCAAAATAAACAAAAAAATTACATGAAATGGTAATATATGACGTCAGAATTTTGATTTTGCTTGCTTGATTTTCTTTCAAATCATCATTTAGTAAACAATAAGAAAACCCTAAATCCTAAGTCATAATAAACGATTGATATTTCAAGAAATATTAATAAATTCTATTTAATGACATCTTCAAAATGTTATTGAATACCACACTAATCATATTTAATAGTTTGGGATTAACCACCCAAATCACCTAGTTAGATGCAACTTGTGCATTTCCCTACATCATTGGGTAAATTTGCAAAGTTAACAATTAGGTTAGAAAATTAAGCAGGACAAAATGTAAGAAATTAAATTTAAAAAAAAACAGTGAGTTTACCAGGCCGAACAACATTACATGGTACAAAAAATTGAAAAATATTTTCTGACTTCAAACTTGAGAGATGTATGCAAAACATCTAAAGTATAATGAGCCCAAATGATATTTTACCCATCATTAAGGAAGCGACTTGAAATTTGCCCTAGATGCGGGTAAAAATCCACATACATAAGCTCAACATTCACCTAAATGCTCATAAAACAACACAAATAATAGTGTACGTACGCATGCATGAACACCAAAAGAGAATATTACCTCAAAGCTACAATAATCGGCATGATCCATCTCCTTGGGCTCACCAAAATAATCGTCCGCACTTTCCAAATAGGATATGGAAGGATAAAAATGTGACAATTTACATCTTAGCAAGTTGAAATGACAAATAATAGAACAAAAAATAAATAATCTATCTGCAGTTTTACTTTTTCAATCTTGAATAAAATGAATGAAGAACATAAGAGGCAACAAACAATAGAATGGTGAACACTTCTTTAAAATGTTCTTTGCCATCAAGTAATTATCACAGAAAAAGCCTAAATATCTCCTAAATATTTTTGTCCTGCTGAAAAGTAACAAAAAACCATATGTCAAAATTCACAACTTCATCATCTTCACCATCTTAAGAATTATGGCAAAGTGCATATGAACCTGAATATTTTATCTTCTTAAAGCATCAAGTTAAAACAAATACATAATTGCTAAATAATATTGAACCCAACATCTTAAACAAGGTCTAAAATGTTCAGGCATGCTTACAAAAAGTGCAATGAAGAGAATAAACTATAGTTGCTCTAATTATTTGATATTTTTTTATACTGCCCAATCTAAGTGAAATCAAATAAGAGAGAAAATGTATGACCAGGAACATCTAACTTTTGTCTTCATCTTACTGTCAAAATCAAACATTTTTCATATTCCCATAATATCCTAACATGTTGCCATATTTAGCCCTCTAGCTATGGAACTAGCAATGTGACATCTTTAAAAACCTAAATTATTTGTAAAGCATTAATAGAAAGGTTCTAGCATTTTATGAACATGTTGCATACCTATATGAAGCAATCACAACATTGGAAAGGGTTTTAAACTACTCTCATGGTTCCTTGCTCAAGCAATGAACCTCCGATAGTTGTGGTGGTGGCAAAATGTAATGCCAAAAATGAGCAAAAACGTAAGTTAAGAAAATATATGTCATCTAATTAGTTTTGATTTTAATTAAATATTTAAATTTTTTATTAAAATTACCATTCACAGAAATCGATCACTTTGGCAATTCCAGTTCCACTGCACCATCATGCATTAGGAGGATGAAATTGAAGGGTTAGGATTCTGTATAATTATATATATATATATATATATATATATATTTGAAAAAAGCCCAAGGGCTAATTCATTAAAAACGAAAAAGATACAGAAAGGTTGTATGAGAGAGCTTAAAATCTCACCTCACACAAAACATAACACACAAAACTCAAATAAAACAAAGATACATAAAGATAAAAAATCAAAAAGCCACCAAAGAGCGCAAAAGTGCTAGGGACGTCCCAATTTCCATCCTCTGCCTCTAGTTCCTGGAATTGAGCTTGCTAACAAATTAGTAAGGTGAGTGTCATTGCCCGAAGTAACCAAAGTATCATCAATCAGATTTCTGAGCTCAAGTAGGTCTCCATTCTTCTTCTTCCTCCTCGATGTGTAGACCTGTCATTCCTCAACCGATGATTGACTCATTTGATCAATAAATTGTTCCAAAGTTGGTTGGACAGGTGTAGGTTGTTGCACATGATCCCCATGATCCTGAGTGACAGTTACAGCTTGCTCGACCTGATGAGGCGGTAGTGAAACAGTAGAAGTATTGCAACTTATATTAAGAGTGATAGAATCTAGGGTAAGTGGCATCTGAAGAATCTCCTTCTCACCCATGATAGTAGGTTCCAGAGGCGGTTGAATGGTTATAAAATTGTCTGCGAGAATAGTGACGTCTTCGGGGGCATTCTTTTGATAATCAATATTGTCAATAACTTGAAGTTGATCAGGAGGAGATGAAATCACTGTCTCTGACGGAGCACTGCGTTTTTTTGGTCTGAGGTGTGGATGTAGATAGTGGAATTGAGAACTGGAGTGGCCAAACATACGATAGTTTAAACAATACGAAGGAAAATGCTCAATCACTACCTTTTGCCAATACCCATGATGTTGTGTACCCAACCAAATTTCCTCAAAAATAGATAAAGTGATGTCTCTTTCACTAAGTACTCTGGCTTCTGATGGACGAGAAAGATTAAAAGTAGGAATGTCCGTTTTGAGTGGCTTCCCATAAGCTAAGGCAATAGCGTACAAAACTTTTTAAGTAAAATAATGAAATTTCAGACCATAGAGGCGAATCCAAACCAGAATGATCGGAGGTTCCGTATGAGGGTCAAAATCTATAGACCATTTGAGAATTTTCATTGCTCTGTTATCAATCCAGATTATCCTTCTAGCAAATAAACGCGTGTAATCCTTTTCATTATTAATTTGTATAAGAATGTGTCTTTCATCTAACAGTCCAATTTTTCACTCCCCAATCAGGTGCATAAACTCAAATTCCTTACGAATTAGCTCCATTTTTGGATGACCATACAGAAATTTTCCAACTAAATTCAGTAGACAAGAGGAGGCAAGTTAAATACCTTCAGCTTCTATAAAAAAAATGACAGATTTTCCATTCTGCCTTCCAGGTTTCTTAATAGCTTCCTCCAACTCAAACGAAGGAGGGAAAGATTCTTCGTCGCTGGGAAAGAGCACGATTTAGGTGTACCTGAGGCGGCGTTGACACCTGCAAGAGCAGCAGCATACGATCTGTTCGAAGTCATCCCTAATAGATAGAGGTGTGGCGTTAAGAACACTGAACAGAGCAAAGAAGAGCAAAGTCAGAATCCAGAAAGTCCAAGGAGCAGAACCAGAAACCCTGCAAATTCAGCAAACGTCGCAGCGACGCAGAGACAAAACCCCTGCGAACAGACGAGACCCCTGCGAAACAACGCAGAAGCCGACGTCACCCCGAAGATCATGGAGCAGAGCGCAGAAGCGGCGACAAGACGACGAAGGAGATGCGACCTAATAAACGACACAGATCGCCGAATCCAAATGGGCAGACGACGCGAGAGGCAGAGACGAGCGACGAATCAAAATGGGCAGACGACGCGAGAGGCAGAGACGAGCGAAGCGAAAGCAGACGCTAGTAGCAGAGCAGGGAGACGATATATTATTTTCTTCACTATATATATATATAATAGAAAAAACTCAAGGGCTAATATATTAAAACGGTATAAAAGAGCCTAAAAGAAAACTCAACTCACACAATACAACACACACAAAACCCAAATAAAGCAAAAATACATAAAAGTAAAAAACCAAAATACCACCAAAAGGCGCAAAAATGCTAGAGACGTCCTACTTTAGTCCTCCCTTTACCTCTAGTTCTCGGAATTGAACCTGCTAACAAATTAGTAAGGTGAGTGTCATTGCCCAAAGTAACCAAAGCATCATCCATCAGACTTCTGAGCTTAAGTAGGTCTCCATTCTTCTTCCTCCTTGATGTGTAGACCTGTCATTCCTCATCCGATGATTGACTCATTTTATCAATAGATTATTCCATAGTTGGCTGGACAGGTGTAAGCTGTAGGCTGTTGCACATCACGATCCCCATTAACCTGAGTAACATTAACATTTTGCTCGACCTGATGAGGCAGTAGTGAAACAGTAGAAGTATTGTCATCTGTAATAACGGTGATAGGTTCTAGGGCAAGTGGGGTCTGAAGAATCTCCCTCTCACCCACGACAGTAGGTTTCAGAGACGGCTGAATGATTGTAATATTGACTGCGAGAATAGTGACGTCTTCAGGGGCATTCTTTTGATGATCACTAGTGTCAATAACGACGGCCTATAGGCTGCAACAAACAGGACACAGAAGCGGATGACGCAGAACGAGGACCCTGCGAAATTAGCTCAAGCAGAGCGCAGAAGCGGACCTGTGAAATCAGCTCGAGCAGAGCGGCAGACGACGAAGGAGACGAAGAACGATGCCCTTTAGCCTACAGCAAACAGACGAGGAGCGGAAGCGACGCAGCCTGCCAAAATCGCAGAAGCGGACGACGAGGGCCCCTAAATTAGCTTGAGCAAAGTGGCAGACGACGCGAGAAGCCGACGACGAAGTTGAAGCAGAGACACAAGAATTATCGAAGCAGACGCTAAGGGTAAAAAACCACTACACACACACACACACACACACACACACACATATATATATATAAGGCCCATGGGCAAATATATTAAAGAGAAAAATGTGCATATAGTTTGTATGAGAGAGCCTAAAAGAAGGTTCAACTCACACAATACAACACTCATAAAAACTCAATAAAGCAAGCACACATAAAGATAAAAATACCAAAAAGCCACCAACGGGCGCAAAAAGTGCTAGGGACGTCCCACTTTAGTCATCCCCTGCCTCTAGTTTTCGGAAGAGAGACGGCTAACAAATTAAGTAACCAAAGTATTATCCATCCTATTTTTTAGCTCAAGTAGGCCTCCATTCTTCTTCTTCCTCCTGGATGTGTAGATCTATCATTCCTCATCCGAGGATTGACTCATCTGATCAATGGATTGGTCCAAAAGTGGTCGAACAGGTGTAGGTCGTCGCACATCACAATCCTCATGAGTCTACATAACATTGACATCTTTCTGGACCTGATGGACGGTAGTGAAGCAACATAAGTATTTTCACCCGTAATATCAGTGATAGGTTCTAGGGAATGTGGAGTTTGAAGAATCTCTCGCCTCCACGATAAGAGGTTCCAAAGACGGGGGAGTTATAGCGTTGTGTGGAGACTGAATGGTTGACTTATTGTCTATGGGGATAGTGACGTCTTTAGGTGTATCTTTTTTATGATCAATAGCGTCAATAACTTGGAGTTGATTAGGAGGAGATGAAATCACTGCCTCTAGTGAAGTATTTTGTTTTTTTGGTCTAAGGTGGGAGTGTAGATGATGGTATTGAAATGATGGCATTGAGAATTGGAGTGGTCGAACATACGATAGTTTGAACAATACGAAGAAAAATGCTCAATCTCTACCTTCTGCCAATATCCATGGTGTTGTGTGTCAAACCAGATTTCCTCAGAAACAGAAAAAGTAATGTTTCTTTCAACAAGCACCCTTGCTTCAGATAGACTGAAAAGATTAAAAGTAGGAATGTCTGTCTTGAGTGGTTTACCATAAGCTGAGGCAATATAACACAATATTTTTTGAAAAAAATAATGAAATTTCAAACCAGAGAG